GATTAGAGGAGATGAGTTCTTAAAAGAACCTAAAAAGAAAAGATTTCAAATAATGATCTCTAAGTATGTTAAAGTTTTTGCTTCTTCACTGGATGAAATTAGATGTATTAATCCAAAGGTTATTGCACCAATGGTTATTTTTTATTATTCTACAAGTACCTTAGAATTTAAAATCAATTCTTATGTCAAAGCATTATTATCTAAATTAATAAATCTATTAAAAAAAATTACAAATAGAGATATTTGAACCACCTATGGTTCCATATTCTAATCAATAATTCATAGTGCCAAAGAAGCCTAGAACTTTGAGATGTATCCAAGATATGTAGCCAACCAACAAAATGACAATTAAAAATAAGGAGTTGGAATTAATTATAGATGAGGTTATTGAGGCTTTTATAAGACATGCCATCTATTCTATTAGAGATCTTTATTTTGGTGTTGTCCAATTTTAATTTGCATCAAAAATAAGGATTTGACAATGATGAAGACTCCATTAGGACTTTTGAGGATGTGCACTTTGCTTCAAGGTGTGACAAACTTAATAGCTCATATACAAAGTGCCATTAACTAGAACTTGAAGAAATTTGTGCCTAAAAAGACTATTCTTTTTGTAGATGATATATCTATTAAAGACTACAGAGAAGAGGCCAAAGACTTGAGATTGAATACTAATGGATGTATAAGTTTCTAAAGGATCACATTAAAGATGTACAAAAGATTTTGAAGAGGTGGATTTCATCTTGTCTATTGATAAGTACAAGTTTGGAGTAGATGAGATTGTAGTCGTTAGATACTTATATAAGAGGTATGGTAAAAAATCTAACCTTAAAAAGATTGATGATATTATTAGAATGAAGGCATGTAGTAGCATCACTAAAGTAAGAAGATTTTTGGGAGCTTATCTCTTCTATTGGATTTAGGTTCATCACTTTATTCATTTAGCTAAGCCACTATACAAACTTTTTAAAATAAAAAACTAAATTCAGATAGAATCAAAAATAAAAGTTAGTCATAAAAGGCATGAAAGAGATTTTGAAATCAACCACAAATTTTAGAGAATGTTGACTATAATTGTGACAAATTAGTTTTTGTCACTATTGACACAACCCCAATTGCTATTAGTTGGACCATTCATCAAGATGATGCAAAAAAAAAAAAAAAAAAAAAAAAAAATTACAAATAGGAAAAGAATATATTCACAAGTAAATATGAAACTTTAGGAAGTACTCATAGCTATGAAGGCGGACAAAAATTACTTAATTGAAGCCAATGTGGTATTAAAAATTAATTGCTTATCATTATTAGATATGATTGTTAATTATTATATTTATGATATTATCATATTGAAATAGATAGCCTATATTAGATTACTTAATCCTATATTAATACATGTTTTTGGCAAAAAAAATATTGTGGCAAATATACTATCTAAATTCAAATATATTTATAAAAAATAGATAGAAATACAAGACATTAGTGAAGATGATGAAGATAATGACAATAGCTATTTGCTAGCTACTAATAAAGCAATTATAAGTAATAAAGATCATCATTTTAGAAAAGATCTTTAAGAAGCAAGTTGAGAGATATTAGCATCTATTTGAGTAAAATGAGGAGATAGGAAGACTTATCAAATAAGACTTTTAAAGACATTAGACATAAGTCTTATGGCAATATTCTAAGAGATAGTTGCTTATAGAAGTGGCCAAAGAAAAAGAATGGACTATCATTGAGAGTGGTAGATGATGCAAAGACTAAGAATTAAATTCTTAAGAAATTTCTTAATACACTTTAAGTAGGCTACAAAAGAATTTAAGTCACTTATCATAAGATTAAAGAGCGATATTGATTGAAAGGTCTCTATAAAGATGTGGAGGATTTTGTAGCTTCTTGTATTAAATACCAATTGCAGTCCAAAGCCAAATTTAAAGATGAATTGTATTCTACCTATCTACTTACTATGCATTTTTAGTACGTGATTGTCTTGGTGGCTATACCATTTAAATATTGGAGCATAAAGTATCTTATTTTAGTAAAAAAAGAATGTTCAAACTATGTTGAAGGCAAAGCTTTGAAGACTAAGATTATAAATGGAGTATAAAAATTAACCTTAAAAAAATACCTTTAGAAGATATAATACAATTGAAAAGATGAAGGTTGTTTAAGAAAAATTGGGTTCAATAGAGGCTAAAAACAAAATTCAATAATATAGAGTGAACTTGAATTTGACAATTGCTTATAATCTTGAGGCTAATGCTAAGAGTAAGAAATGGAATCCTTCCATTACAAATATTCTTATCAAAGCTAAGACTTCTACCATATATTTCAGATGCAAATAGAACCATTTATAGCATTATTATTGGTTATATGCCTATTGGGTTGATATTGGGCGAAAAGCCAATTATACCTATAGAAGATTTAGTATCTACTTGGATGTTACTATATTGGAAAGACGGCATCACAACAAAGAAATTATCAGAGCTTTAAATTCAATAGCTTGAAAGATTGTATGAAGTTTAAGAGAATACATTGGAAAAACTAAAAGCTTTCAAGTTGAAAAATAAAGAGTGAGTTGACAAAACTCATCGTTTGAGATCCAAACTAATTGTTATTGAGGATTAGATATTAGTGTTTGAAAGTAGTTTGGAACATCAACATAGCACTCTTAAAAAAAAATCTTAAAGATAGTTTGATCTATATATGGTGGTGATAGTATATGATAATACTACTTATTCTCTTTCTAAGTTGGATGGCATGAGATTGAAGATACATATGGCTAAAAAACAAGTAAAAGCATTTAAGAAGAGAGATAATAGATTTAATTCAAATAATCTTACAAATTTTAAGAATCTAAATCTAAGCCAAGCAAAAGATGTCAAATCATCTGAAAAAGATGAATAAAATGAAGATATTTAGGTTGGTACATGCCAAGGATATGCAAGTTTAGAGAAGGCAAATGTTGTATTGGAAAGTGGTATAATATATAAAAATAATATAAAATATTATAAAAATTTGGTTGTAATATATATATACATTTATAATTATAGATATAAGTCAAGATAGTTTGGTATGAGCTTAAAATGAAGTGGTATGGTGCTGAAGTAAAAAAAAATATATAAGCTGAGATAAAGTGACATAGGCTGGTGATGACTTTTGGACCGCTTTACTTGGACTCTCTTTTGCTTTAGAGATAACCAATTATTCTTCGAAATTTTTTTTAAAATAAACATTGAATTTGGATTTGAGATTTTAAAGAGTAGTTTTTTTTTTATAAGATTTCTAGAAAGCTTTTATTCACACAAAAAAAATTAGTATAAACTAGTAGTGTCTTTTTGGATAAAAAAAAGAAGAGTTGATATGAAGTTGTAGTATTTTTTTTTAATAAAGAAGAGTCATTTGCCTTATGTGAATATAATCTATGGCTTTGTTTGTTCATAAAGTATGTTATAGAGAATTTTAAGAAGTAAAATTTGGTATATATATGTATGGATTGAGTAGTGCTTCAAAGAGCCATCACATGTTAAAATCTAATGTAGTATGGAGCTATGGTATTTATTTGAGTAAAGCAAGGGGTATTAGCTATCATATACTATCAAGAGCTATCATATATATACGAGGTGGTAGAGTTTATTTAAATGAAAGGCAATATTTGACCATATCTAGTTGAAGCCAAAAACCTTATGTTTTCTTAGAGCAAATTCTCTCACCTCAACAATGCCTCCTTGAACCGCAATCTCAAGAATAGAAGAACCATTCAAATCTATGCTTTTGCATAACCAAGAATAATAGAAATCAAAGAAGAGCAAGTACAATACTAATGCATATCAATGGAACTAACAACAAGGCAAAAAAAACTAAGATGGAGGACAATATTTCAATCCCTTTTTGCTAGGAATTTTGGAGCTCAAAGATTAGAATCAATATTATTTTATTTTAATCATTATTACTTTATTTTATTATTGTTGTTGTAATTTTGGAGCTCAAAGATTAGAATCAATATTACTTTATTAAAACAAATATTACTTTATTTTTTTATTTTTTTTGTAACTTATAAAAATTTATTTATATCTAATTATTTTCTAATATTGTAGTTTATGTGATAATTAAAGATAAAAGAATTTTTAAAAGAAAAATAAAATATTTTTATATTAAGAGTCACAAAAAATCAATGCTAAAAAGAGTAATTATGTTTTTTTAAAATATAATAGTAAAACTTTATAAAAGAAGAAGTTTTGATACTATTAAATCTATTTATTCAAAATATAGATTATAAAAATAAAAAAAATATAAAACTTATTTTTCTAACATCTATATTGGCTTAGAAGATAAAATTACAAATATCTTCTATTATGGCTTATAAATTAGAAATTTAAATGTAATATTTTTTTTTAACATTCTTTAGAAGATAAAACATAAAAAAATAAATACTTATTAAAAGTTTTTAATAAAGTTCTTAATATTTCTAATTTCTTATGCAAGATTAGATATATATTATAATACTTAATATATTCCTTATAGGTATTTCTTTAATATATTTCTTAATTATATTTTTTTTTAAATTACATATTTATAAGATAATTTAAAATATAAAAAATATAGATTTATATAAAATTATTTATATATTATCAAATAATATTTTTTTAGTTTATACAATTCTTCTATTATTTTTATTTAAATAATGAAGCTAGATAATTTTGACTTTACAAGTTCTTTCATTGAGTTCTTTAAGATATTATTTTTGATATTTACCATCAATCATGCACAACAAATCTAGATATTTTATCGTAGAATTTTTAATTTTAATATAAATTTGGAATTAGACTTTGAAATTGGAAATCTCAATTGAAACCATTTTATTAAATTCAATTGGATTTTTATGAAGTGTTACAATGTTAAAAACTCAAGAGGTAAAAATAGAACAAACCTCAATTTTAGAATTTAAATAAAAAAATATGTTTAACACCTGATGCAAGATTTTCATATTCTATGCAATGTGATTTCAATTTTCCTAATTTTTATATATAATCTTTGTAAACAAAATTAAGATAGTCCAAACCAAAATTATCCTCTGGAAATTGTGTTAAAGTATTTGGCCATTGTGGGTTGCAAGTAAAAATATCAAAATGGCATCGATAAAGCTTATCATGCATCAAAAAGTTTTACCACAATGACTGGTGTAATGTACTCTATAAAGCGAAAACCTAGGCATGTCAAGCTGCACTGTTTAAGAGTTCAAATAATAACTGAGCTCTTAACCTTCCACACTCAATTCTTCTCCATGATTCAAAACAACATCCAACATATTAGACTGAAGATTGACTTTCGAAGGGGCGAACTTCGCCATGAAATTAATAGATTCAGCATTAGTTGCAGCCATTTCATGGTCATCGCCGTCAGAAACTTCGTGGAACGCAGCCTTTAAGCATTTTACCTTCACTTCTTCGAATCGCCCACGAGAGAGAGAAACCTCAGCAAGTAATTTCCAAGCGTACTCCTCGGTTGCAAGGACATAATCCGTCCTTCGTTTGAGCACAATGTGGCCGCTGATTTCCCACACAGCAGGATTTACTTGAGTCTCTAAAATCTCTTGATCCACCTCGCCTCGGGCTTGTCGTTCAGCAAAGTACTGTGGCAGAAGGAAGACTCTTGAGCCTCTGTCAGCTATTAACACATTGTAAGGTATGTTTTCATTTTGGAGGTAAACACAGGCATTCCCAACGGCTATAGAAAGATCCTCCAAGCTGGTGCACACCTCGAATACAAGACCCCTGACTGGGAACTTAGTGAGCTCGTGCACTTTCACACCACATTTCTTTCTGCCATAAGTTATTCTAGAGGTGGGTGCCCTCTCAATAGGAAAGGGAGCAACCAGGTAGTAAGCCTGCAAAATCACATCTCCAAATCAATCCACCTGACTCAAAATTTTCTTCTAATGGAATTCACTACGATGTGAATCACAGAAAAACTACACATTATTCTGATCAGCACTTCTGAAACATAAGTACAAAGACACTCGGAGGTGCATCGGCAGATGAACCGCCTGAAAATGTAAGTGATTGATTGTAGCGAATGCACCTAGGCTGTTGTAGCCCAAGCGAAAGTAAGGATTGTTCGCCTCCGCAGCCATATACAAAGCCAGTAAGAAAGAATCCTGATCAATTCGTTGCGGTAGGCAATCCAGTACTCGAGGAACTAGAAGTGCATGCCCATATTCGATTGGGCTAACCTGTAGATACTCTAACTCTTCAGTAATAGCAATATGGAACTCATAAGTAATCTGATAAAGTAAACAGTCAAAGGATGCACAATCAACTCAAGACCAGAAGTAATAAAATAAGATGAAAAATATTATTATCATTATTATTAAGTGCAGAATCATCCACTGATGCATCACGAGAATGAGATATATCGACCCAAAGATTAGTCTCAGGGTTCTAAACAGCAAAAACTTACATTGATGGCAACCACATTGGGACTGTTAAGCACTAAAGCTTTCTCATAGTACTCGCTCACACCATCCTCGCTTGGCCCAAATTGAAACAACACCTCCTCTTGGCCAACTTTAGTGAAATTGAACTTTTTGGAATCGAAGGGCTGGAGAACTTGATCAACCCGAAACTCCGTGGGACGCTTTTGAGAGTGTCTTCCTTCGTTCAGTTGTGCTATGAAACCATACTCCCCTGGGAGCATCTGCAATAAACATTTTTATTTAAGCTGCATTTGCAAAGCTCTCAATCCTCCAAGCACTCCCTATAATTAACACGAATCAACGCTTCAGAGAATTAACCTATTCCTAAAATTAATGTCTAAGAAAAGCCATCTGTATATATTAAGCGAAAAAAAATTCCTCCCTCATCCACAATAACACATACGGCACCCTTATTCGCTTCATATGTCTTTATACAAACTGTAAACTACTTCCGATACGCAAATTTCTAGGAAGCGGGAACGAATATAAGATGTTATCCATGTTCCTGTCACCCATGCATCACTGCAAGATCGATGCTATGAACTCACAGTACAGAAAATCGAGCAATGTCTATATCATCTCAAATATATTAGCACAAGACCATCAAAGCCGTGAACGTGAACTTCAGATAGAGCAGGCCACACCTTTGTTTCGCAAGCTGTCACGTCATAACGGAAAAACCCCCGCTCCATGCGATCCTCCCACTGTTCAGGAAAGAGTGCTTAAAAATAAACCTCAACTAGCAGGAGCCCCATATTAAATAGCAATAAAATGAATAAATAACTCAAAATGACACCTGTCAAAGTCATTAATAAAGACACAATACAAAGCCAACGCTGCAGGTAAACGCCCTACCTGTGCAAGTAGTTCGTCGAGGAAATAGTTTTCTTGCGGAGGGTTGGCATGACATCCAACATCGTCAGGTACACAGTGGCTCTCATCGATATCGTGGACACTTTTATTGGAAGACAAAAGTCCTTTCAAACCAAAGGTGTATAAGGGTAACTTGGTTCCTGCACGGTAAGTCGATCAAGATGTACATCAGTTCCATCCCAATAAGTAGAGTGGTCTTTCTCCTTCAAGCGTAACAATGAGGTATGGTGAAGTCAAGGAAAAAACCCCCATTATATTAACCTGTATCATACTCTTTGTGTTCAAACGTTTGAACATCATTGCGTTTACTTGCACTGATGCCTCCCATCCGGGATATGACAACTATGGTAGAATATGATTACATCTATAAGAAATGCCAACTTAGAAAAAACAAAAACAGTTCAAGTACCAGCAACTAATATTACTAAAAATATTGGAAAAGAGCGAGATTGTACTAACCACGAATACAACAGTTGCCAAGGCAATCGCGACCGCAACCGGAGCCTTGGTCCAGCTGCTGTTGCATGGAAACCACTGTCTCCACTCTCCTGATCGTCAACATTTTTGCAGGTTGAATAGTCTCCTAGACACTTCCTGTTACCTGAGCAGAAAATTCTCCCTAGCACCCCCCCCTAAGGATCAGCACCGTGGTGAAAGTTTGAGAGAAAACCTCCCCCAGCAAGTGCAGATAGGTCAGAGGGACGACCGCCTTCACTGGGGGCGGCCCCCCGACCACCGTGCAAGGAAAGAGAGGAAGAGAGAGATCGGGACAGTTGGATTCCTGCACGGTAGAAGTCTTTGCTCATATGGACGCGATGCTCTCTTTGCAAAGCCGTGGTGCCCACTGAGATAGACCTGGAATTGTGAGTCGGAACAACTTCTCTCCAAGAGTTGCCAGCGTTAGTATCCACCAGCGCCAAAAATATAAAGCTGCCACATAAAAGTGCTATGTACCCTTCAAACAAAAAGATTGCAGGTCGCTCCCAGACAATTGGATCTGTATTTACAACGCACAAAGACTAGTTCATCCTCTCCCCAGCTAAGCACGAACGTATAGAACCTGAGACCTTTGAGACTCGGCGATTATGCCACTCACAACCTTGCGCAAAGTCAAGTGAACACGATCTTCAGAGAAGATGACAGAGTCCAGTTGATATAGGAAAGCCTTCGAAGAAACAAAGCGAAGTTGACATTAACACATGACGTCGATAATAAGCACACTGCAATGGAATTCAAACACTCGCATCGAGAATTATCGACAGCTGGATGACCTCAACACAGCGAAGTACGTATCTCCTTTGTATGCAGAAGGATACACGTGAAACATTCTTAAGTCTGATGGTGAACTACAGATAACCAGCAAGTAATGCTCACATACCAGTTGTATTTATAGAACTCGTCAAAAGATTAATGTTCAAAAGAATCACTGTCAAGTTACAAATTAACTCGTTGGAATTCCCACCTAAAAATCTGAAGAAAAAGACAAAAAAAAAAAAAAAAAAAAAAAAATCCATCATAATTGAGATCAGAGGCAAAAAACATGGTAGAAGTGCACGTTCCGGATAATCATAAGAATAGAAAGTGGATATAGAAACAGAGGTCAATCGTTTAAAATAACCGGTCCATCTCGAACCTGTCAATTACTTCAAGCAAGTTACTGAAGAAGCTTCCTCGTCACAAAGGCCGGAAGCACACCATCACTAAGCGATGAATTACATGAACCACGAATATTCGCTGTGGTTGAGGAAAGAGAACAAGCGATGATAAAAAGATCATCAACTGGGAACGTCTCTGCAACACAAATATAAGAACAAGCAAATAGATGCACATGTCGCGACTCAGTCCACACCCGAGATTTTCCTAGCTTCCCAACACAGATTCATCCGGCACAAGGGGCTTGAATGATGTAAATGCCAGAGTGCGAATTCTTGTGGATGTGCGGAAGAAAAAAAAAAAAAAAAAAAAAAAAAAAAAAATTGGGATAGGGGCAGAGAAGCATCGGGTTCCTAGAAGCTTCGATATTGCACTCTTGGCCTCCGGAAAAGCTAAAACGCCGTTTTTCGTTTCTTTACCACTTTTACTTTCTATTTGTATTTTATTACTTCCCACTTTCCTAATAAGGAGGGGTAATTGAAACTGACGTAACCCCGCGCTTCACCGAAATGTTCCCGCCCTGTTACATCTCCTTCAGAAGGCGGGATTGCGCGCATATCTGGAATCCATCGATTGATGATGATATGGAAATAGCTGAGAGGAATGCATTGAAAAGGGTGATTGATCTGGTGCTATAAATGGACAACGAAGGATGTTGAAAGAGCCATCAAATCTTATGCATACATGCGGTACATTCATTTGAATAATTTCCTGTTTTATAATATATTTCGCCCATTTGTATATTTGTTTATACATTTACATATTTGCATTTATACATATTATGCTCACAGATTTCCTCAACATGCCTCTTTGGCATAAAGTGTATCTAAAGTTCTTCATTAATTTTGAAATTTCTAGAATTATTGTGTTATTATTGTATTCCAATTAAAATAGTCAAATAGAATGTTTTAGGTCATGTAATCACTCAATCATGGTTACAATCTTTGATGTCGTACTACAATTGCTTATAGTATGTAAAAATTAGTTAGAACATACAATATGTTCATAAGTCTTGGTGTATGTTAGGATGGTTAATAGATTAATTTAAAGAGAGAGGATTTAAAAAACTTTATTTTGAGTTTTTTTTTTTTAATTATAGTATTTCATAAAAAGAATTATAGGACCTAAATATTTAGTATGAAGCCTTGAGAGGAGATTGGAGTCTAAAGAAGAAAATCTTAACTAGTAAGAGGCTTTATTGGGAGGGATGAAAGCAAGGCATGGTTGGATGAAGGCAAGGAATAGAGATCTTCATTCCTATTGGTCGAAGGCCATGCCCAATGGACTTCAAGGAGGCTGCCTGAGGCCTTATTAGGAATTAGGGTTTCTCTTTTGAAGTCATTCAAGCTTTGGAGGCTAGGATCATCAAGTTTAAGTTTTTGAATATAATTTGGGTGAAGAGTTTGTGTGATTTCGATTTTTTGTGAAAGAGATATAGGTGTTAAAAGTTAAGGTGTCAAATTTGTACCTACTATCACTCTTTGAAGCATAACATATGCTTACGGAGAGAAATAAAAGATCGGTAACTGAAGTTGGAGAGAAAACTTTCTTGGCTACACTTTACATATATTATTTGACGAATTCCAAGTCTGGATGAAGGAATTATAGGGCATTGAAGACAGCACATGTAATTCAAAGGCAGTAAGTGAGTCATTTTATTGATAGTAATGGTTGGAGCCATATCTTGAGTTTCTGTAGGAATTATTGGCTCAAAATTTCCATAAGTATGATTTATTAGGTTAAGAAGTTATAGATCAAAGTTTCATGGTATTTGAGTACTTATTTTTTGAGATATAAAGAAAATAGCACTTGGGTGTATGTAAGCTAGGATTTAAAGCTATTGTTAGGGTTTTGGTGATATCTTAAGATCCGCAATGAATTTGTTGTTGAAATTTGTTGTGGTAGTTGTTAAAAGTACATCACTACTTCATGTTGAATTTGAATGTGTTTGAATGGTCCGATTGGAAAATATGAGTTTTTGAAGTTTGGAAATAATACCCCATTAGGATATGAAAGGATTTAGAGGTTTTATCATATTTTGGGTGTTTTTGGGAACTTAAGACCTATATATTTGGTATAATAGCACCTAAAAGTGTTATATATATATATATATATAAACTTGGTCTTCCTTATCTCAAGACTTGATTGAGTAATTAGTAGCAGCCAAGAGCGAAGTGCTTTCTTGAGGCAAACTCTCTCTACTCTAATACTGATATCTTTGATTTCTTAAAACAAAGAATAAATTCAATATGAGATCATTTATCAATCTAATATCCAAACCACTCTTTATATATATATATATATATATATAGGAGAATGATAAAGTAATCTAATTTTTTATTAATGCAACTCACTCTATCTTCACCATCATTACATCCTTACAACTCCCATTCTTATTTCCAACTGTTCTTCAATCCCAACCATTGCTAAGGATGGGGGTTGAGGATTAGGAACTTAGGGAATATGGAGCAATGGTTGGGAACAATTGGGAAGGGGGTGATGGTTGGAAATAAAGGAACAATTTGGAATAGAGAAGGAGTTGAAAGAGTATAATGATGTATGTATATATATATTTGTGTATATATGTGTATGTATATATACATATATTTATATATATGTGTATGTGTATATGTATATGTATATATATAGTTATACATTAAGTCGAACAATGACAAAAACAGTCCGCATTTCATATTTATTTTCTGTACCTGGTCGTTCGATTCTTAGGCCCCATCGGAAGCGGGGATGAGAAACCGATTCCAATACCATCGATCTACAAAACGTGTGAATCTGGGACCCCACATGTAGATCTGAATCTAGATATGAGGAATTGGTCAAAGGGCATCTCCGACGACCGACCACCGAGCTGGCTACCATCATTGGAACCACACCCCATTATCACAGATTCTGTGAACATTGTCGGCGCTCGGCGAACTGCGGACCTCAACCCCAACGGTGAATACAGTCCCCAGACTTCAGCTTTCTCCTTTCGATTTCCTTGCTTGCATTTAGATTTTGGCTTTTCTGGCATCCATCCGCCCCACTTGGCTTGTCGAGCCGTTGTGGAGAATAATCGCCACGAGGCCCGTTGAGTGCTCCTTTGCTTGGACGACTCGTGAGAAGGGGAAATCCTAGGCTATTATCGTTCGTCGCCTCGTCGCTTCTGGTTTCCTTCTTGCTGTGGCTCATCGAGATGCATTCTCTCTTTCCGCGTGGCTCGGATTTGAGCATCGTGCTCTCCGCAACCTTTGCCCCATGCGTTTTGTGCTTCTAGCGGATCTTTGAGATAAGTGCCGCGTGCAATGCCAAACTGTGTTTGTGTTCACTGTTGGATTGCGTCCGTGCCTCGTTCACACGCTCATCGATGAAGTCGCATCGAAGAGAAGCTGACATTATGATGTGGCAACATTCTGGAATATTGTTTATTATTTCCGAACATGTTTTACATTCTGTTAGCTAAATTTGTCAATATGTTGTAAACATGGAGCTAAGCTGTTCACAAACAGGAATTGATTGAAGTGAGGTTCTTCATTATACTATTTAAAGAAGGACAAATGCATGCATGTTATTAAAATGATTTCAAAAGTTTAGAGCATAATATATTCGGACTGGAATAAATTTCATGCGAAACATATGACTCACCCATAACTTTCAAAACCTTAAAAAATCAGGAACGTGTACAATACATATCTGTCTTCTGATGAAACTCCACGCGCACCAATCGATTAAACCCACTGTGAGAGCACGATTAGTACGAAGGAGCTGCCCATGTACACGTCAGTCTTTAGAGTCTACGTGGATTGTTCGGCGGTGACGTCGGAAGATTGCGGGCTTTGTCCAACCAAAGCCCAGACTCTTCGGTGCAACTTCCCTGCATGACTTGCCTTCTCGTAGACGGAACGGCCATGCTACGATGGGATGTGCAAGATTTGCATCAGAGCAGAAGGCAGATTCGGCACCAGGATCGGAAGTGCTGGCAATTTGCGTGCATTTCTGCCACTGTTAATGATGTCACTGGTGAGTGTGTTTGATTGCGTTGTAAGATGGAGGGGCACCTTGGGTGACAGCTAGGTCAATTTCTCGCAGATGGTGTCATTGTTGACGACAGCTCGTACATGCAGAGTTTGTTGAAAGGCTTTGCTCATTCAAAACACACACACACACACACACATTTACATGTAGTCTTACATGTAGAGGCTTGAGGTATCGTTCCTCCTATTCTGTGTGTGCAGTCATTTGGAAATATTTCGTTCAGTGTGCGGCACATTGAAATTCTGTTGATGGACCTGTGCGCTAAAGACACGCCCATGCTTGTAAATGAGGTCCTCAGTGTTGTAGAATAAATCTGTTATGTTTTTGACAAACCTAATGCAACCATTGCAAGCGGTATGAATGGACGACCAAGTATCGAGCTACATCATATGATAACGAGTGTTTTTTAAACTGATCTTAGGTTTTAATTGAGGGATTACAAGTTCTGTGTGGATACAGGAACAATGAGCGCTGGAAAGAGCTGGTGTCTCTTGCACTGATCAAGCACGTGGTGCAGGCACACATATCATCCATCAGGTTAGTGTTTTCTTAACATTTTCCTATGCAGTATTCTGTTTTCCCAAGTTTTGTCATACGTCTTTGAGACATTGCTTTTGCAAATTATGTAAACAGGTCCATAGTTTTCGCTCACATTGTCTAATGCTACTATAAATGGCCTAAACCTTGGTAATAGGGTCAAAAAATGCATGCCTCCGGTTAACAAATAATTTGCGTTGTTACTAACTTCAGTTGGAACACGTATATTGGGAATACGAGTATTAAGGAATTTCTGAATTGAACAAAAAATGAATGATAATTTATATTAATATTGATTTGTATATTTAAGTACAAAAAGAGAGACTTGACAAGAATTTTATGTAAAAATATATTTACGTCTTCTATTTCTAAGATATGTAACATCTATTTGAATTAATTGTATATTCCAAAAAAAATGTAATTCATGCATTATTTATAGAGTTACAATGTGATATAATTGATATAATTGATAGTTTCTTTTGCCAATTCCAAATTTTTGAAAACAATGGTGCAAATATATGAAGCAAAGATTTTAATTAGAAGTATATAACATAAAATAATATTAAGAGGACTAAATTTTTAATTTAATATCATATTTAAATACAGAGCAATTAAAACCAACATTAATAAATATAAAGAAATTATTTATGTGGATTAAAATATATAACAAATTATAAAAAAAACTTTGCAATATACATAGACTTTGTTATTTTAATTATCTTGTAATAATGTAATATTTAGTGTTAAATATTGTTTTATATTTTAAATTTTTATAGAAGTTAGAAATAATATAAAATTTTAAAGTATACTTAGTATTACTAATTTATAATTTACTTTATTTATTTAGAATTAAATAATATTAATTTATAAGCATATAAAATTTATTACTATTATAATTTATTAGAAAATCTAAATAATTTTAAATACAAAGAAAATATAACTAAATATAAGATAAATTAGAAAAAATATCATAGATTAAATTATATTAAAAAATAGTAATTCAATATTATATATATATATATATATATATATATATAATACAACAAAAAAAATTGAGAAGTTTTTTATTTTATACTTGATTTAAAATAAAAGTATATATATATATATATATATATATATAAAGAGTAATGATAAAGCAACTCGATTATTTATTAAATCAATTTACATATTTAAATCATTAAATCTCATTTCCATCTCCAATTGTTTTCATATTCTTAATTGTCATTCTATTTCCAGCTATTCTCCTATTCTTAATCGTCATCCCATATCCAACTCTTTCCTTATTTCCAATTATTGCTTATTATTTTCAACATCCCTAACCTCTTGCCTCCATCCTTAGTAATAGTTGAAAATGGAGAATGGTTGGGAATAAGGATGTAGGTTGCAATAATGGTGAAGTTAGAATATGTCACTTTTGTAAAAATTTCGATCACTTTATCATTTCTATATATATATAATTTTAAAGAACTTATAGAATCTATGAATTTATAAATAATAAGCTAAAATATATCTAATATATTTAAATAATAAAAATAATATTTTAATTTTGATTTATCATTTTTATATATATATATATATATATTATTGCCACAATAATTATTGGTGTAGCTACCACAACCTTTATAAGTCATACGACACCTTTATTAAATAATTTTTAAAATATTTGATTGAATAAATTTATTAATTGAAAGAAAAAAAATTGATCAATTGATTTTCTAGTATTAAAAGATATATACTTGGAACAAATAATGATATTGTCATGTTATAAACTATAATAAAAGCTTGATAGAAGCTTTTTATATTGATAGAATATAGAATATTAATGTATTGAGGTTGTATTTGCAATGAATTTGTTACACAATATATAATGATATATTCAAAGAAATTATTGGAAATCACACTATGAAATTGCTAGAGAAAGTAGTTAGATACAAAAACAAAGTCTAGTGCAATTGAAGATTGGACCAAGATTATCACATTGAATTTTGTATGAAACACAAAGCATTGTTATATGTGTGCAAAGTACAACAACGCATTGTTTGCTTATGTTGTATGTTCAAGATTATGGTTGATACCAAATAGGTGGAAAAGGTTGAAAGACTATGTTGAAATAGTGATTGATTGAAGTGAAATAGTGGTAGTTATATGAACATCAAATAAAGGTACCGAGGTTATCCTCAAATGGAGATGAATGCAATTGCCAAAGGAACTACTTTATATGAAGGATGACTTATAAAGTTCATTTCTTAATAAAATAAGAAGTAATGATTAGAATGAAAGTATAATTATGTAATAAATAGAATGGCCAAATGAATTTAAGATGTATTAAAAATATTAAGCATCTAAAATAATTTACTTATTACCTATAATTTTTGCTATGTGTATTATGCATCTATTTTTTTAATGAGACTTCAAAAAAACATATCTAAGGTCTTAATATTTTTTGAGAGAATTTCAAATTATAAAATATTTTATAAATATATAGTATTTTTTATCTTTAGGATATATCTTTGTAGGTGCTTTTAGTTTTTGATACTATTAAGCTATTGTGATTAAAGAAATTAATCACAATATTTATATATAAAAATAAAATATTGATGATGCAAATATTTTATATGATTTATGGTTTTGGTATTATTACCATAGTATAGAACATCAATATTCAAATAGTCATTATTCTTATATCACAATATTTATATATAAAAATAAAATATTGATGATGCAAATATTTTATATGATTTATGGTTTTGATATTGTTACCATAGTATAGAACATCAATATTCAAATAGTCATTATTCTTATACCAAATATATATATATATATATATATATATATATATATATATATATATATATATATAGATTAAAGAAATTAAACAAAAATAAGTAGAAGTAAATAGATTTGATAATATCTTATGGATTAATTTCTTAAAAGCTTCATAGACATATTTTTGACTTTATATGTATTTTTATGTGATTGGTAGGTTGAAAACTTCACTAATATATTGGCCACATGTTGCACATATTTTCTACTTGTGATAGAGGTTTTTCGTGTGACACACATATGAAACTTGTCTTGCAAGTTGGACACATCTTAGAGGTCCTATGCAATATCACCATATTGTTGAGAAGTTTATTGCTGGTTAAAGAAAACACAAAGATTCTTGTTGTAGAAATCTTTATTACTTATGTGTACCTTAGTTAATTTCTATCTTCCTCTTTATATTATTTTGTACTAAATTATCAACTAAATCTTCACTTACACCTAAATTGATTTACCTCACTTTGAACTCTTATAATACAATGTAAAAAAAATAGATTAATTTAAAACCTTTTGTAATAGATTATGTATCTCATTTTTTTCACATTCTAATTAAAATAAGTAATGACTTAAATCATTTATAATAAGTAAATCTCCTAAGCTAATTTTTTGATCACTATGTTTTCTTCACAATACTACATCTAATTACTCTTTTGTGTATATTTCTTAAAAAAATGTCACAAAATTTTAAAATTTGGTGAATGGATTCTTTACTTAATAAAACAATTACACTACAAGTTTCATAATCATAGATCTTATAAACATTAAGTTATGATCTTTCAAAATTAGATCCATTTTATTTTAGCACTCTATTTTGTCTTAACTTATTCATTAGAGTCACTCTAATCAATGACAATAGATTCCAATCAAAGATCTAAAATATGCCTCCTTTATCAACTAAAAATATAAGTTATAAAAATCATAAAAACTCTCTCTTTATGTTTATTCTTCTTCTCTTAAGTCATCTTAACACCTCAAAAATATCAGCAAGATGTCTCTTTAATAAAAATCCTCTACATGTGGTCTCTCCTATTTTTATCTTGATATTCAATAATATTATCAAGAGGACTCTAAGATTAAAATCTACCACATGCAATCTATTCTTTCCTTATCCTCATCTTCAAAAATATCACCAAAAAGATTATTCTTAGAAGCATTTTTGGCCATATTTGAAGAAATGATTTAAAAAAGATAGTGTAGATCAAATTCATATATTTACAATAAGAATTACTTTTTGTTTCTATATGTATTATCATTTTCTAAAACCTTAATTTTAACATGGATTACAATAACAAAGCCCTTATAAATTAATATTAATATGGATCAAAAGATAATATAAAAGACTTATTATTAACAATATCAAAAGTGTATATTTTATATAACTTAAGTTGATTTTTTAGAATATATCATTCCAAATAATAGCCTTATATTGAATATTGAGAAATTTTAAATTATTATAAATTAAAAAACTCCAAAAATAATAAAAGATATGTAATATTTTTTGAAATTTTTGAATTACCATCTGATTTTTATCAAAAGTACTTTTTAAGTTGTAGCTCTATTTATATATTTGACTTCAAAGACAAACTGAAGTCGAGTAAAAAAGCTAAAGTAATATTTGAAGCTTTGAAGACATCTTTTATTCTTGTACCAATCTTGTTTTGTATTAATTTTTTAAATGCATTGTTTATGAAAACAAACGCATCAAACTTTTCTTTAAGTATGATATTATTACAGATAAAGGCAAATGATAAATTCCTTCTAATAGCTTTTTATTTAAGACACATTTTAGTAACTAAAATCAATTATAAGATCTACAATAAAGAACTTCTTGTAATTATGGATTTATATAGAAGCCATATTTATTTTAGTAATAATTTGTACAAATTAGAAGAAACTCAAGTATTCCATGTCAATACTTATTTTGAATTATTATCAAGCTTATTAGAGCATATTTTTATTAATATTTGAATTAAAAATTATTTATTGATCAAGAAAATAATGAGATTTTTTAGATTTTTATTAGACATTCTTATCTTGCATCAAAGAAAATAATGTGGCTTTTGAATAAGAACAAATTATTTTTTTGAAATCATTATAATTTTATTTTTAAGCAATAAAAGTAATATTGATTATTGATTCAATTTTTTTTTAAGTAAGTTGAATCTAATATGTCCTCTAATTTATTACTTTATAATATTAAAAATAATTCTTTTAAGTCTTATCATACTTCTAAGTTCAAGTTCAAGATTAATTTGTTTTATTTTGAAGGATGCTTATATGTGTCAAGGACATGAATCTTAAAAAAAAAATAAGCTCAATATATTCTTATGTCACTCAAGAAGACTAAAAAATCACTCAAAGATGATAATATATTGAACTAGAATAGCTATTACCAAAAATAAAAAAATTAGAAAGTCTTGAAATAAGATTAAAGACTAAAAAGTTGTTGGCAAGAATAAAAAAGGTTTTATTTTTGCCTCCATATATACTATCCAACTAAAGATAAGGTAGTGATGTCTTATAGGACCTCCAATACATATCCAATTTGTAAGACATATATCTTAACTTGCAAGCCAAATATTCTATATGTACCCCATATTATTAGATTG